TGTGTGTGTGTGTGTGTGTGTGTGTGTGTGTGTGTGTGTGTGTGTGTGTGTGTGCGTGTGTGTGTGTGTGTGTGAGAGAGAGAGAGAGAACAATTATTAAGTTATTAAGATGTGACCCTTTGTAATTCTTAACATTTTCATAAGTAAGTGTAATTTAATTACACTTTTTTTTTGTAATGGAGTGTGTGTGCGTGTGTGTGTGTGTGTGTGTGAGAGAGAGAGAGAGAAAAAACAAACAATTATTAAGATGTGACCCTTTGTAATTCTTAACATTTTCATAAGTAAGTGTAATTTAATTACACTTTTTTTCTCTGTAATTGTAATGGATTACAGTTACATTTAATATACATCTTACGTCTTTAATATAAAATATACATATAATTCATTAACTCTTTTTTTTGTTTATGTTTTCATGTTACATTTGACATTGGGTGTTTGCTAAGCTTCCCATGCAAACTAATTTCTCTGTATCAAACTGATCAACTTTCGGCTATTTTTTAATTAGTTATTACAGTCATGTTCTTGTTGCATTTCTTGCCATGTCCCAGTTCTGTTGGCTAAATGGGGTTGTGTGCAGAGACAGCAGGCATGTTTCACATGTTTCGTTGTTTACCTGGACAATGTTTTGCTGTTCTAATCCCCACTAATGCTTCCCTCTCCACTGCTGGGACATGTGCTGCCACAGCATGCTTCCAAACCTCAGCTATAGCAACTGCACCGAACCACACTCACGCTCACACTCAAATACACACAGAGAAATAAAACATCCAAAATAGCTCAATAACTCAATGAAAGTGTTAGACATAAATACATGCTTAACAGATTACACAGCAAAAAACACAGTACAAAATGTGCTTCATGATTTTAATAAACTGGGTTTATTCAAAACAAAAAAATATTATTTATTTAATTATAAGACAGAATAATCCTGACTACATTAGTTTACTATTAAAATAGTTCCTTAAGACAATAATTGCACATTATCCATTTTTACAGTATTTTTGAGTGTATATTAAAGAACTAATGTTTGTTAATGTTATCAATTAAAGTTATGTAAGCAATAAGACATTCGAGGCGTGTTGTATCGAGCATGTCTCGAGTACCTTATTGCTTTTATTACCACACAATAAAAACAAAAAAAATCCTTCCGCTATAAAATCCTGACTGTAACAGTAACGGCAAGAAAATGTTTCGATATAACATGCCTCGTCTTATAGAGCTCAAATTAAAACAGAGAATAGGAACTGTTCTCATCTGCTGTGTCATTTTTTTTTTTTTAAATATATATGATATTTTCTCAAACACATACATCTGCTTATCTCTCAGCATGAGAAAAAGTCTGTTTTCTGTCTTTTAGTTTACAAAAGACAAATCGGCCCAGCGCAAGTTTGCAAGCATCATTACAGTGTAAATGGACACACAGAATCATACCTGAAACAGAAAACTAATAAATAGAGTAATATTTCCTCCACTCTGGGGGCTTTTCACAAAGTTGCGTGCACACATTAACATATCTCAAGAAGATTTTCTCTGACAGGAGGAAGGCCGTGGCCTCAAAATTAAAGGTGAATAATGCAACATAACGCCAGCATTCAGCATTTTGCTGAAATACATAATTCATGGAACAGTTTTGATGCTATATTATTGATTGTTTATGTTGCTAAGGGTGTTGCAGTGATACATACATACATACATACATACATATATACATATATATATATATATATATTTTTTTTTTTTTTTTATCTCAAGGTAAAATAATAGGTTGCACACATTAATTGCACACATATGCATATATGCATTTTTGCTGATGTTACTTTAAGAAACTATTTCTATCTGATTTGACCCTTGAACATAGTTATGTGTAAGTGTAATCAGGTTGATTCATATTAAATATGAGGCAGCCTGTCAAGTTAAATATATATTTAATATATTTAAAAAATCACTGCAAAGAAACTGATATATTAAAAAAGACAAAGCCATACAGTCGGTCCTCGGTTCAACTGAGCAGTGAAATATGACAGACCGAAGGAGAAGAGCCTCAGCGTGGGGTCAGGCATGTGTTTGTCTTGACCACAGCATTGACTCCAGGTGACTGTAACTGAATCAGTCTATGTTTAGTGCACTCTCAACCTCAATAATCACAGTGTCGGGGTTAGCAGACTTTATATAATTAGGATGTCATTTGAGCCCTTTATAACTGAAAGATTCTCTGTGGTGCTCTGAGGATGCCAGGAGGACAATATATGGTTGTGCAATCAGTTACATTCACAGTATCCTGCCAACAAGTCGACCTGGTCACGTTGTACTAGAGACATGGAAGTAAACGCTAGAGGGCAACATGATACACACTGGTCGCTTCGGGAAAAAACTAGGTCACAAGGATACATGACCCATCCCTTTTTTTATGATGTCTCCTCCTCAGCCATATCTTCTGAGGGACAGACACATTTCAGCCAAGGTCAAAGGTCAAAGGTGAATGCGCAGATTTATTTCATATATATATATATTCCACTATACATACGTCTATATAAATATATACAGTATATGCACACACACACTGGAGGTCAGAAGTTTGGAATAAGGAAAAGAAAGTCTCTTATGATGCAGTACATTTTTATTTGATCAAAAATACAGTAAAAACAGTAATATTGTGAAATATTTTTTACAATATAAAATACCTGTTTTCTATTTAAATTTATTTCAAAATGTAATGTATTTCTTTGATGCAAAGTAATGGTAGCCTACTTACAATTGTTAAAAACAGTTTTTGCTTATTTTTCGTGTGTGTGTGTGTGTGTGTGTGTGTGTGTGTGTGTGTGTGTGTGTGTGTGTGTGTGTGTGTGTGTGTGTGTGTGTGTG